CCAATATATTTTTTATCAATTTTTTTTCATCCCTTGTTACATAGAATGCATCCAATCTAACTTCTAATCAATTCTTCATGTACTTTTTTAGTTTCTAAGCCAGTTTTCACTCTTCCAGTATCAAGTTGCTTTATTCAACCTTCAACAAGGGTTAGAGTGTCCAGGGTATTGCGGGATTGCTTTGCTCACGCTAAGAATACATTATAATTTGATTTAAAAGGTGATTTAAATCACGTGTCTCTTATGATAACAATATAAAAAATTATTTTTAGCGTGAGCAGAATTATGCACTGCAGTACCCTGGACACTCTAACAAGAGTATATCATATACTTTTTCTTTTTTTTTTTGTCTCAAGTTTAGATTTTATATTAGATTTACTTATTCTTTGCTTCTAGAGTATTCTCATATATTGTTCTTATTTTCGTCTCTTATACTTGCTTTGGTTTATTTTTTAATAAGTTTAAGCCTTTTTCTTCTATTATATATATATTGACTTGTATTGCTTCGTATGAGATATTTATATTAAATAAATTATTTACTAAAAGTACATCTAAGCTTATTATATGATACTAGTAAATTTGGTATCCTTTAGATAATTTTTTGCTAAACGATATCAGCTATATCTTATTTCCTTTGCTAAAGCTTTTTGTCGTAATTTTCGATAATGTTGCACTATGTAAAAATCCTCTGGTAATATATCCATATAACACTATAATAAGCAAAAAAAATTTTTCTACCAAAGTATTCGGCCATCTTAAATTTTATCAAAGTTAATACTAATTGAATTTATTAACTCCGATAAAAGTTGAACAACGATTCATTTTTCAAATAAACATAGATATTTCAATATATCCAAGTCATTTAGCTTTTCAAATTACTTATCAATTCATCAAATACATGTATCATTTATCTATTTAATAAGATTGCTTTATTTAACCCAAATTTAAATTTGTAACTTTAAACAATTTCAATATAATGCCCTATTCACAACAAAATTTGGAGATGCAACTTTTTTTGCTAAAATATAAATCCAGCACATTGAATTTTCTCAAAAATGTTACAAAGAACAATTCAATTAATCACATTGAAGGAGTTGCTTGGAAAACACCCTTGATATAGACCCTGTCTAAAGCCAGACTCTGGACCTGATTCGTTTTTTGATTTGAATTTTGATTTAAGACCGTGAAAATTGCACCAATCAGGCGTGTAACGTTAATTACGCTTTTTTTAAACCACAAAATTTTGCTTACGAAAACTAATGCCTTCTGCACTCTAAAAAAAGAATTCTTTGGCACGCATTATTTCATAAAGTCTAGTTGGTGCATATTTATCGTTCATTGCGGTATTTTTGGAGTAGTCGATTCAGTTACAATATTTCTTCAAGGTTTCTTGAGTCTAAAGTCAACACAAAAGTCCAGCCTAAGTTAACCTAAGAGATCGAATTAGACCGAACTTTTTACATCTATATTCATACTCAAAAATATGTTTGTTTTGAATAAGGGTTAGAGCCGCGAAAAATTATACTGGCAGTTAATCGTGTTGCTTAATTATAAGTTATACGATTAATCAAGTTAATAATCGTTTGGTCATTTAACCACTTACCGTAATTATATAACCGTATATTTAATCGTTTAGGTGTGATCGTTAGGAACTGGAAATTAGCATAAGTTCGGAGTATAAAATTTTTTATAGAGTTTCTTAATACAGTATAAAAGTGCTGCCAAATAAAATCAGGAAGTGAATATTTAAGTTTTCATCATGACAAACTTAACTCTAAAAAAAAATTATAATAATACGTAATTGAATCACAAATATGATCAGTTCACCACGATAAGAACTTGAATATTCATATATTGCCTAAATGTTGATAAGGTTTAAATAACCACGTGCATATTTGGGGTGTCAGTAGAAACCAAGCAAATTGTTTTTAGTAATTTTTTTTAAAAATTTTAAATTAAAATATCTCAACAACTATTAAACTAAACTTAATAGATATTTTTTTATTTTAATTTTATAATTAAATAGAATTAAAATAAAAAAATTTTTATCAAGTATGGTTTAATAGTTGTTGAGATATTTTAATTTAAAGTCTAAAAAAAATTTACTTGGAAACAATTTGCCTGGTTTCTACTGACACCCCCCATTTGTTTATATCACGTAGGGCATTAAATGATTATTAAACGATTAACAGTATAAAATTTAAAAAACGGTTAAGTGAATAACTTAACGGTTTATAAAAATTTCTTGCTCGTCTAATCGTATAATATAAATAAACGGTTAAAGGCGGTTAAACGAATAACGGTTCCTGAATGTCTTTATGGAAATTGAGTTACAAATGAATTGGGATTGATTTTTCTTTTATAATCATTCTTTTCATCTGTCTTAAGTCATAATATCTTTTCTTCATTATTATTCTATGCGTTATGTAGCCTTAAGATTTTTATCCTTCTATCACTATATTTAGGGTTATTATCACGTGTACTTAATGTTTACGTTTGACAAGTTCGAAAAAGGAAATTCAACAATGAAAGTGTCCTTCTTTGAATTCTATATGTATTTTTCGGAACCCTAATTCCTATAGAATGAGACAAAGTAATTTTGAAGTATATAACTGTATAAAACGATAAAGCCTTGTCATCTGCAAATAATCTCCCACGATTATTCCTAAAATTCCCAATAATGGACAGCAATGAACTCCCCGAGTCCTCCGAAAAATTTAATAATTCACATGATTCATCTTTGCCAGTTGATCCTGAAGATCTTATCCTTGCTAGTGGTCCTTACGGTCCTTTCCTTGACCATGGATCATCTGCGAACTGTTTTTGCGATAAATGTGATGGTCATCATATTCCGCTTTACACTTGTAGGGGTGAAAATTGTAAAATTAAATGTCCTCCTCATACTAGAAAATGTTCTAAATGCGCCGATCACAATTATTCGATTAGACACAGAATTAATCGAAAGTATTACGCTAATCTGAAATCCCGTTTAAATTCTGAGAATTTTATTTCTTTTAGAAAATCTTTAATAGATAATTCTGAGAATTCTATTTCTTATGAAAAGTCTTTAATAAATAATTCTGAGAAGTTTATTTCTTCTGAAATGTCTTTAATAAATAAATCATCTGATTTTGTCGTTGATAAAGGTTTATCAGAAATCTGGAACAAGTTTTGGTCGGAATTTTTGAATAACTCGTAATTTCATATAATTTATCGATATTGTTTCTTATCTCGAGTTTTTTTTGTGAAGGGGACCCCCTTGTTCGATTTTTTTATTTTGTGTAACATAGTTAACCTTTTATGGATTAGTGCTCGTACCCGGATAACTTTATCCTTAAGATATTTATGTGGTACAGAACGCGTAGTATTAGTTTATTACATTAAATTATTATTCCAGTCAACAAGCTTTTGGCTCAAACTTTTTTCGTACACATTAAACTTTATAACTAGTGCATTAATAGAACATTATTATTCAAACAGTTCTTTATCTTTTGCTATGAACCTCATTATCATACTAAAGTATTATTACAATACTATTATTTTTTTTCATTTTATACTAAAAATTTTCTAGAAAAGAATATTAGAAACATTAATTCTTTTCAGCAGTTCATGATAATATCTTTGACAAATTGAATAATAATTGTCGCGGCTGAAGCTGGAAATTAGGGACCTTGATTTAAAAATATAGACCTTACCAAAATCCACTTATTATTCTAACCATAAAAAAAAAAAAAAAACCTAACAAAAGGCCCCAAAAATTTCATATTAAAACAATTAAAATTTCTAGCTTCAGCCATTTCCAGCTTCAGCCGCGACAATAATTAAACTATTATAAATATGCATCGTTATCTTTAACCGGCCTTAACCTAAATATAAATGCGTTCCTAATTTAAACACCTAAATTAATTATAAATGTGCCTCACTATCTTAACTGGTCTTAACTACTACAATCGTAAATGCATACTAAATTAATCGTTTTTTGTTGAGATCGCATAGTACTTTGAAAGCCTGGATTTTTAATATATTCAGACTTGTGATGCAGTAGAATCGTCCCAATGATTTTTGTAACCAGTTACGAAGTAACTTTAGCTTTACGGCTTAAGCTGTAACACACTGGAATGATTCTACTGCGTCATTGATTCGGACACTCATTATAGCTATTCTCTATCCATCAAACTTCACTTATTTTATTTTTGCTGGCGAAGGTCTAATATTAGAAGAGAAAAATACGTGCAATACACTGGGATAAAAGATCGATGCAGGCATAAAGGAAAAAAAAAACGAAACGTACGACACTAAAAGAACTACTAAAATTCATTTAGCCTCATATTACATTAATCTAGCGATCTACAGAACTAGGGCAGCCGTGGCTAAGCCGGCTTAGCCGACTAAGCCAGCCGAAATAATATGGTCGGCTGGCTAACGCGGCTGAGTCACATGATTCATGATAGTAGGATTATGATAAATTTCGAGAAGGAAATGAATCATAGGGAGACATTCATATGGGCTGCTGTCAATAGAAATCACGCAAATCTACATTTAAAAAAAATTAATACCTTAACTTTCACAGCTCATATCTCGATGAATTTTAAAGCTATCTTAATGATTTAATATTCAAAAGAAAGCTTATTATCGAATCTTTCTTTTAAATATTAAAACATCAAGATAGCTTTAAAATTCATCGAGATATGAGCTTTTAAAGTTAAGGCATTAAGTTTTTTTTGCTTGATTTCTATTGACGGCAGCACATATGATTGGTTAATTTAGGTAGATCTACCCATGATTGCCCGCGATAATTAACCAATAAAAATACATAATTTTATTAATACTACAGTACTAGAAAACGAAATAAAACTTCGAATAAAGAAGTTTACAAACTAATAAATACACACAAAAAAACAAATTACTTATATTTAGAAAATAGATAAATACAATGTGTGTAAAGTTGGTAAATGTGATATTTATTATTAATAAATCCAAACTTATTAAAGAACCTATGTAAAAGATCTCACATACAATACATAAACTATAACTATTAATATATCAGTCAAAGAACATGTCCAACTAAGTGTAATTATTTATAAATCAAATGAATTGACTTATCTAATTTTATATATAAATTTATACAAAAAAATCATTTAAATTAAATTTATTTAAATATATACAATATATATAAATCTTTCTTTAAATTTTAAATAAATATTTTTTAGCAGAATGTGGCAACTTAGTATAGTAGTGGAGTTGTTGCACCTCCAAGTGGCAGGTCTAGAGTTTAAACCCACAGATAATGATTTTAAAAATTAGGCCTGTGATATAGTTAACAGTTATGATAATTAGTTTAGTTTAAAAATTTGTAATCTTGGTTACACTATCTTGAATAAAAGCTTTGATACAATAAATCTAGAGAACCAGAATTATTGAAAACCAATTTGGCAAGTCCTAAGTTGAGAGATAGCAATGATCTCTGATAGTATTACAGAAAAACTAAATTTGGAATCAAGAACTGAAATTAGAAAATTAAACAACCAGATTCTTAAGTCAGAAATTTACTAGCTAAATTATTGAATTATCACTGAAAGAAAAAGATATATGCTCTAGAAGCATGTATCAAGGAGAGAGTAATTGTAAGACACTTAAAGCCTAGACAGACTAACTCTTTTAGGTTGTTAACTAGAAGTAAAAGAAGAACTAGTAAAGAATCTAAAAAAAAGATGTTAAGATTTTGCAGCCTAGTGGTCTAGTACCCAACCCTTCACAGGTAGGTTTCAGATTCAAGTTCTAGTAGATACAAATTCTATAAATATTTGAATATACTTATTATAGAAAGTCCAAGTGAGTACAAGTCTGAATTAGAAATTTTTAAAAAAAGATCTATTGTAGAGAAGTTAGCATTATGTATAACTATGGTTGTATTTAGTAAGTTTTAAGAGATGTTAACTAACAGGATGTGATGTATTGCTTAACAAACCCTATATAGTTTAACACTTTTTATTAATAAAATTGCTATTAAACAATAGAAATATAATAAATAACTATTTATTAGCTATTTATCATATTTTTGTTAATTAATATTAATTTTATTAATAAAAAGTATTAAACTATGTAGAGTTTGTTAAGCAATGCATCACATCTAGTAAGTTAATACTTCTAAAACTTTCTGATATATTATAAAAGATTCTATTATACAAAGGTTGTGTATATAAATTCTTGATTAGTATAGATAGTACTAACAACTCTAAGGCAGTATTGGGATCTTGTTTGGAAAAATAACTAGATAGTAACTAGAATTAAAATAGTGAGAAAAGTAGTAAATACAAAGGAACCTATAGTAGAGAATTGGCCTTACCAGATTTGAAAAATCTCTAATGCTGTGTAAAATTACTTACCAAAAAGAGGCTAAAGCATAGAGGTGTGTATATATCAAGACCTAATGGAGCTCTAAGCATATTTATATAGAAGTTTTTAAATATTATAAGAGCCTGGGACTACCAAAACTAGTATAGCTGATACAGGTACATGTAGTTCATAACTGAGGGCTACAACTGCCAAAAATTACTATAAAAAAAACAATGACATATTTGTTACAAACCCCTGGGCCTCATGATGCTATCTAATTATAAAAGGTTCTAGAAGTGCAAAGTAACTTGTTATGAAACATGCTTAGACATCTCATCACTATAGAGAGAAGTACAGCCATTTGCTAATTACTAAATTCAATATATTAAGACCTAAGTCTTGAAAGTTACAGGAAAGTAAGCAGTTATAATAGCATGCAGGCTTGAGATTTAATATAGTAGAAGCAGCTGCATAGCTTGAGATACAGTATGAATTTTTAACAAGTACACCAAGTAGAAATACAAACTAGACATACAAAATTGAAAGCAGAAAATGCTTACTTGAAATAGTAACACACCAATTTGGAAGTTAAAATAGTAGATAAAGTAGGT